ACAGTGTACATTCTGGGAAGAACAGACACTGGCGAGTTATTTTTAAAGTCGCAATCTTATGCTCCAAGGCAAGATCTACCCGCCACGTTAGCCTGTGAAGTTCACGGCCTGCTATGCGCCTTGCAAATTTAATTATTTTGTTAATTCTTTTCCCTTGCGTCACGCCACAATTTCCCCATACAGCTAAACAGAATCGGATGTGGGGTAGTACCAGGGAGTTGATAAGCAAAACTATCGTCTTTAAGGGCATCACACGACGAAGGTGACTTAAACGTATCAGCATACCCATACATTTACTGATGATTCCGTCAATGTGAAAGTTCCACGTAAGGCAGCTGTCCAGTGTTACGCCCAAGCTCGTCAGAGATGACTTCACCGGCATCATGGCACCAAAAATGTTAATGCTCTTTAAATTGACTCTTTTCATTGTCACTTTAGAACCAAACATGACTACTTGTGACTTCCAAACATTGAGTGTCAGTAAATTTCGAGAGAACTGTACGGTAATTGGGCGTGGTCCGCGCGACGACTGCGCGTGCGCGGGAACCGCGCGGCGGCGCGCGTGCGCGGTGCGCGTGCGCACCGCGCCTGGTTGTTATGCTGTACCGCAGTGTCATCGTCCGCGCGGGTCAGTTGGCCCGCGCGGCATTCTGAAATAGACCGGCAGACCGAACAGCTGTGTTCCTCTACAACTGGCGACGAGGAATACGGACAGCCAAAGGACGGGTGCTGGACTGGGCGTGGTCCGGGTCGCCGCGGACGGCTCTGGTATTGAACCTGTCGGACACTGAGGCGTCTGCAGCAGCAAAATGGGTGAGATCGAACCATTTAATCCCGATACGGACTCATGGTGTGAGTGGGAGGAACGTTTTGTGTTCCTCTTGGAAAGTAAGCAAATCACTGATGGTACCGTCAAGAGAGCTCGTTTGTTGACTGCTTGTGGGAAGAAAGCGTATACATTGTTTCGCAGTTTGGTGTCGCCGGCTGCACTGCATGATAAATCGTTTGAAGAGCTGTTGGCAGTGATGAGAGCTCACAAAGATCCCAAGCCATCGAAAATATTGAGCAGGTTTCGATTTAGCCAGTGCCATCGTGATCCGTCTCAACCTGTTGCAGACTTTATCGCCGAGCTCCGCAAGGCAGCAGAGCACTGCGAGTTTGGAGGCACACTGGAAGATCGACTGATGGAGCAGCTGGTGTGCGGCATCGCTGACGAGCGCATCCAGAGGCACCTCTTGGCTGAGCCGCAGCTGGACTTCTCCAGAGCTCAGCAAGTCAGTCTGTCGCTCGAGATGTCAAGTAAGGACGCTCAGGTCATCGCAGGTCAGTGCGGGGGCACGGGCCACGCCACTGTCCATGCTGCTGCAGCGCAGGCGAACACAGAGCCTTGCTGGCGTTGTAATCGTGCCAATCACAGTCCGGATATATGCAGATTCCGTAACTTTAAGTGTCGAAACTGTGGTCAATTCGGCCACATTCAGAGAGCGTGCAGGCGCCGCCCACGGAAGACGGCCACTTCTGGGAGGCGCCGTCAGTCGGCCAACAATGTCACCGGCTCCGGCGATGAAGAGGACTGGGAGAGCTGGGTGGAAGCCGAAGAAGCAGTTGGCCAGATCCGTCGATCCACCGACACCGGCCCTGCTGACGTCAGACAGGTGGGTGGCTCACCTCCGTTCACGTGTGATGTTAAACTGCAACAGACTGATGTGACTATGGAGATCGACACAGGCTCTAGGTACACGCTCATTGGAGAGAATACTTTCAGCATGTTAAACTGCAGGCCCAGACTGAAAGAGTGTAGGGTTCAGCTCCGAGCATATACACATCAGCCCATTCCTGTGCTTGGGGAGTTTTGTACGTCCGTCGAGCACAATGGTATGACGTACCGTGGTATGAAGGTGATCGTGGTGAAAGGCACCAGATCCAGTCTCTTGGGCAGGGACTGGTTGGAGGCTATCCGAATCAATTGGTGCGAGGTCAAGGCGGTCTTCAACTCGGCCATCGACCAGCTGAAGGGAAAGTACCGTCAAGTGTTCGAGCCGGGGCTCGGTGAGTTAAAAGGGGTCGAGGTGAAGCTGGAGGTGGACCGCTCTGTGACCCCCAGATTTTTCAGACCCAGATCTCTGCCGTACGTCTACAGGGAGAAGGTGGAAGAGCAGATCGAGAAGGATGTCAAGGCGGGCATACTGGTGCCGGTGCAGCACAGCCAGTGGGCTGCACCACTGGTCCCAGTGCTGAAAAAGTCTGATGAGATCAGGGTATGTGCCAACTTCAAACTCACTGCCAACCGTGCCGTCAAACTGGATCAGTATCCATTGCCGCTTGTTGAGGATCTTTTTGCTCAGTTAGCGGGAGGAGCGATTTTTTCAAAGATTGATCTGGCACAAGCCTACAACCAGATTCCCATTCATAGAGATTCGAGAGATGTTTTGACGATTAGTACAGCTAAAGGGCCCATGTCCTACACGCGCTTACCATTTGGAATATCAGCTGGGCCTGGGATATTCCAGCGAGAGATCGAGAAGGTGTTGAGCGGCATGCCATCTGTTGCCGTGTACCTCGATGACATTTTGGTGAGCAGCAGGTCCACTGAAGAGCACCTGAAAACGCTGGACGAGGTCCTTCATCGCCTGCAAGAAGCTGGACTGAAGGTACGTGCATCCAAGTGTCAGTTCATGATGCAGAAAGTGGAGTATTTGGGGCATCTGATCGACAGGGACGGCATCAGACCGACGCCAGCCAAAGTGAGTGCCATCAGAGATGCTCCAGTTCCTAGAAATGTCAAAGAGCTGCTAAGTTTTCTCGGAATGGTGACTTACTACGCAATAGGGTGGGTCAAGATGGGGGTCGATCTCTCGGATTTTGGGGAGACAGCACTTTTTTGTGTCCCGTGGTCCACTAGCACCGATTGCTCCCCATATAAGTCATGAATACGTCGTATTTGGTACGCTAGAGTGATTTTTCTGGTGTAAAAATTTCGCTAAAACAGGTCAACAGTTTTTCGCTTATAACTTTTGATCTAATTAAGATAGAGCAAAAACAAAAGCACCAGTGAACTCAGCACGCCAAGGCGCGTCGAATGATGTACTTTTTTGCTTGCTTAAGTGTACTTAAGCAGTTAAGCACATCTTAAGTACAACTTAATTTTTAAGAACGGTCGAAATGCTTAATGTTGCATATCATTCGACTCGGCTGTTCAAGAGGAACATAATGATACCATTTTGAAAGCTTTATCTTTATAATGTGACAAGTTATTGGCACAAAAGTCATTTGACCTCAGTTGACCACCCTTGGATAAGCACACCAAACAAAGAAGCACCAAGTGACATAATGTTAAGTACTGTGGTTTCAAAGCACAAAAGTGATAGAACGAAACGGATATCTCCAGTATTTTCCTATTTGAAAATTTTCCCATAGGCTTAACATTACGGCGTAATGACCTTTAACTGACCTCAGGTCAGTGACATATAAAACGAACTGTATGTTATATACAACTCGGTGAACTTACCACATCCTGAAACTTTGAAGGAAATCAGTCCAAAACTGTGAGTTGGACAGGTGCATAAAGAAACTTGAAATTTGACCATGACCTTGTACCGGTTTTTCGACCTGGTGACCTGACCCAAAGTCATCCGGACCTGAAATTTTCAGGTCATATGTAAAAAGGTTGTCCCATAGGCTGCGCCAAATTTGGCGGCCGTTTTTACACTATCTTTAAAAAACCTTAGGGGGGGGGGGGTTGTATCAACTATTTGACATCTCCTCTAACCTTGCCAGGGCGAAGGTTAGAGAGGGACTCTTCCTATTATTCGGCATCTTCTCCGTCACGGTCGTCCTGTTCTACCTCCTGCTCCCCCTCCTGGTCTGAGGGGGCCAGATTCGACCGCCGGAGGAGGTAGCTACTGATGTTCTGCTGCCTGTTGATCCTGGAGAGACAGAGCTTGCATGGCCTGCGCGTCGTAGCCATTTCCCTAATATCTGCGTCCGTGAGCCGATGAAAGTGATCTATGAAGCGGCGCGGCCGAGGAGGTGAGGGCTGCAGCTGTGTGACATCCACTGTCGGCGGACCCTGGTATTCGTCGTCAGAGTCGGTTTCGGACGGTTCTGTAGAGGCCTCCGGCCAGTTGGCACTCGAACTCCTGCCCAGAATACTGTCCAGGTCGGGCAGTTCGGGCAGGCAGGAGGGCGACAGAGGCAGCGGCCGTGGCGAGGGAGTCAGCAGCTGGTGCAGGTCAGGCAGCGACTCAATCTCATCGATGGTCTGCTGCGACTCGGCACTAATCAGAGAACCTGCTAGCGAGAGCGAATCATCGCTGGGGCTCAGAGGCTCGTTCATAGGTGCAGGTGGTGCCTCATCTGCTGGGACGTCAGCCAGGTGCGGTCGCTCTTGAAGCTGAAGCGGAGAATCCGCTGACTGTTGTTGACGAGGGACGAGCCTCTGGAGGAGGGGCCCTGCTTCCGGCTGCCAAGCCGGGAGGGCCCCTGCGGGGCCCGGCACGCGAGCTCCGTCGGGGCGGGGGAGGATCGGAGGGACCGTAGCTACACCCCGCACCGTCGCGTGCCAGGCCGCTATGATGCTGTTGATGCGTACCGCCCGCGGCGGCCGCTGCCTGCCTCTAACGACAGCGGCGGCGACTGGCAGCAGGGCCGGTGGCCACACTCCCGGCATACTGTACCGAAGGGGCCGGAGCAGGCGGCCGGTGCAGCACAGGGGCGGGCGGCAGCAGCTGGACTCCCAGCTGCTGCAGCTCTAGATCCGGGAGAGCCGCAAGGGCGGCCGCCCAGCCGCCGCGGCCGACGGTGACAAATATCTTCAGCCTGTCTGGGAGAAACTGAAAGTATTGGATGTCGGCGGGAACCTGAACTGTAGCTGGCAGAAGTACCCGACTCTCCTGCCGGTTCCTGGTCTGGTAGTTGTCGTTGATGAGTTGTTGGGCTACCAGAAAGTCCCGCCACTGTTGGTTAAACATAGGCGGGGGGAGCACCAGTGGCGGGGCCCGTCCACCGGGCGCTGGCTGGTCGAACCCAGGCGCGGTGTCGAATATCTGGTTCGACGGCTGGGAAGAGCGAGACGGAGGGGGCGGCTGCAATAGCGCCGCCGCTCGACGGGTAAGCTGAAATACTTGCATGTTTGATGTCTGCATTTGTTACGTGATTTGACTCCCCTCTTGTATTGGTTTTTAAAATCTAACCCTGATCTGGCCTGTCTGGATAGGTGGCGCCACTATCGCCTTGGGTGGCATTTATGATTACAGAAAATCTTATCTAGCGTACCAATTATTGGGTTTAGGGCAAATATTTTGTTATCGCTCATCATATAATGAATCAGCGCCATAAAATATTGCTGTCTCCCATCGATTCTAGATTATCGACCCACCCTACTACGCAAAGTATCTGCCCTCCCGTGCTGACAAGTTGGCCCCGTTGTACGAGCTTCTCCGGAAAGATTCCAGATGGCGCTGGGGCACCGAGCAGGAGAAGAGTTTCCAGTGGGCGCGGAACGCGCTGACGTCGGACTCGCTCCTGACGCACTACAGGAGTGGCCAGCAGCTCGTCTTGGTCTGTGACGCCTCTCCCGTCGGCATCGGCGCGGTACTGGCGCATCGAGAGGCTGACGAATCAGAGAGACCGTTGGGGTATGTATCGCGTACTCTGACAGAGTCAGAGCGCAGATATGCACAGATTGACAGAGAGGCACTAGCCATTGTGTTCGGCGTGTGCAAATTTCACAACTATCTGCTCGGAAACCGTTTTAAGCTGGTAACGGATCACAAGCCACTGTTAAGACTGTTCGGGGAACATCAGGACTTACCGACCATGACCTCTGCCAGGATCAGACGGTGGGCGCTGAAGCTGTCGACCTACAGTTACAGCGTTGAGCACAGACCGACTGATCGCATGGGAAATGCCGACGCTCTGTCTCGTCTTCCGTTGCCCTTAAACAAATCATGTGAACCGGAGGAGCTGGTTCTGATGGTTGACAGTCGCGTAATTGACGCAAAGAGGATAGCCCGACTCACAGCTACCGACCGAACGTTGAGCCGAGTTCTGCAGATGGTGCAGTATGGTGATTGGAGTGAAGGTGACGATGTGCCACAATCATTTACCGACAGGAAACTGGAGCTGTCAGTCACCGCAGGCGTCCTCATGTGGGGACACCGTGTCATCATTCCAGAGAGGGCACAAGGCGAGGTACTGGCCGAACTACATGCCGCCCACCCCGGGATGAGGCGCATGAAGGCGTTGGCACGAGGCTACGTCTGGTGGCCGGGCATCGATGCCGCCATCGAGGAAGCCGTGCGGAGCTGCCAGCCATGCCAGGAGAGCCGCCCAGCACCGGACCGCGCACCGCTGAGTATGTGGCCCTGGCCGGACCGCCCGTGGTCCAGGATTCACATTGATTACGCTGAGCCGGTAAGAGGACGGTACGTATTGGTTGTGGTGGACGCCCACTCAAAATGGGTAGAGGCTGAACTGTGTCACAGTATTGGCTCGAGGACCACCATTGCTCAATTGAGAAAGATGTTTTCACGCTGGGGCCTTCCTGATGTACTCGTGTCAGACAATGCAACAGCATTTACTTCTGAGGAGTTCCAGGATTTTTTGCGTGAGAACGGAGTAGAACACAAAACGATAGAACCAGGACACAGTCAAGGGAACGGTCTGGCAGAGAGGATGGTGAGAGAAGTGAAGCTGGCGCTGCAGCGCTCCGGCGGGGGACAATGGGATCTGTGTCTCGCAAACTGGCTGCTTCACCAACACATTGTCCCTCAGTCAACAACTGGTGTTCCGCCCGCAGAGCTGATGCTGGGCAGGAGGCTGCGGAGTAAGCTGGATCTTCTACGGCCGAGCATCCGGGCGACGGTGGTCAGAGGTCAAGTGAGACAAAAACAAAACCACGACGGTAAGCGCACGCTTCGAACTTTTGATATAGATGACCAGGTTTATGCAAGAAATTTTTCTGTGGGTCGTCCTTGGGTACCCGGCACTATTTGTGCGATCGATGGACCAGTGTCATATGTGGTACGATTAGAAGACGGGAGATGCTGGAGACGCCACGTCGATCAACTTCGTGAAAGGGAACGAGACTCAAAAGAGATCGATCTCCCAGTCGATGAACTGAGACGCAGACCCCTGTCCACAGGATATCGTCAGCTACCTGAGCTGAACCGGAGCGGAGAGGTGACACCTGGCGGCAGCGCTGACGGAGGTCACACGTCTGTCTCTGGCTGGCTACCGGCTGCCGCCGCCGCTGTTCAAAGGCCGCTCGCCGCGGCGCACGTTCGGCCGCCGGCACCTGGTGTTGCTGCTGAGTCGTCTGCCGAGCCGCCTGCTGGGTCGTCTGGCGAGCCGGCTGGTGCTGGTGCTGGGCCGGCTCCGCGCGAGGTCTCGGGCGCTGCCGTTCCGTCATCGCCACTATCTGGCCGGGTGCCGCTGTTGCAGTCCCAGCGGACGGCTGACCTCATCGGGCCGTCGTCGCGGCCCGATGACGCGCTTGTGTCTACGGGCACTCGCAGTGAACTTGTGCGTCGCTATCCGACTCGTGTAAGGAACAAGCCAAACTTTTACGTGGGAAAGTAATGTACGGTAATTGGGCGTGGTCCGCGCGACGACTGCGCGTGCGCGGGAACCGCGCGGCGGCGCGCGTGCGCGGTGCGCGTGCGCACCGCGCCTGGTTGTTATGCTGTACCGCAGTGTCATCGTCCGCGCGGGTCAGTTGGCCCGCGCGGCATTCTGAAATAGACCGGCAGACCGAACAGCTGTGTTCCTCTACAAGAACCATTCGCCAAGTTTCCTAAGTACCACCTGGAGTCGAGTAATAACAACACTTATGTCGTCGGGTGGTCCAGACACTAAAACTTGGGTGTCGTCCTCATATTGAACGATTTTGCACAGCCCGTGGACAACAGTGGGAAGATCATTAACAAATAAGTTGAACAGAGTCGGTCCCAACACACTCCACTGGGGTACACCAGAGGATATATGACCTATGCCATCGTCACAGCCTCGCACATATTGGGTTCTGTCAGAAAGGTAGCTTGCGAACCAGGGTTGGTCTATGCCATATTGGGAAAGTTTCTGCAGCAGGATAGCGTGATTTACCGAATCAAATGCCTTGCTGAGATCAAGAGATACCAGGATACACACCTCTCCGTTGTCTACAGATGACCTGATAGTTTCTGTCAAAGCAACGAGGGCATGATCTACGGAGTGGTATGCTCGGAAGCCAAATTGTTCACTGGCGGTCCCAGGGGGGGGGGGCCACGGGGGCCATGGCCCCCCCTTTGGTGCTGAAAGGTGGGGCCATACTATCTTTTGGCCCCACCTTTCAGATCGAACAAAAGTACTAGAAAAGCTTTTCGCATGTTTCATTTTCTTTCTTGCGCCATCAAAGGACGTAAATTTCACTCATGAGTGGGCTCAGTTTCGTATTCTGTCAATTTGGCGGTCAGCGTCGCTGGCACCGGTTCACGAGTATGGCCGGATCTTATATGGAATATCAGCGTGGGTTTACTTGAGGCTCTCGTAGGCCCAGCAATGGCTGGCATGAGACCCTCTTCGGCAGTGGTGGGTGGGCCCTGCTAAAGGAGATTGGCTCTAAGACACTAAAGTAAGACCTCATGGGTTGGTGCTGTGCACCTCAGAAGCCCGGTGGTGACGCCGTATGCCGGCTTGGTTTCTTAAGGATTAGCGTGGGAACTCCGGGGCCTGCATAGAGTTTGCATGAGCTAGTATGTAATCTCAGAGGCATGTGTGTAATGTGTACACAGTGGCGGTCGCGGGGGGGGGCATCAGGGCCATGCCCCCCAAAGGTCAATAAAGGGGGCCATCATATCATTTGCCCCCCCCCCCCTCAAACAACCAATGGGCCCCCATATAGGTGTATGGGGCCCTGGCAATTATTCGATCGTCACGAGGCTCAAAAACCCACGCCCAGCTATTAATATAGCTCCCACACCGGTCTTTGAACGTCCTACACTGACCTCTGAGGGAAGTTCAGTGGCGGTCAAGCGCCCACGTTGACCGCTAAGAGCCTACATCAACCTCTGAGACCCCACATCTGGCCTATGAGGGCCCCTAACCGGCCTCAGGAGTCCCAACCGGCGTCTGAGGGTCTCACACCGGTCTCTGGTGGCTTTATTTCTGTCTGTGGTGTCCCAAGACGAACCTTTAGGTGCCAATGAGGGCCCCGCACGGCGCACTGGCTGCTGAAGACCCGATGCCGGCCTCTAAGGGCCTGCATTGGCCTGTGAGGAGGGCCCATCTTGGCCTTTGAGGGCCCTCTGCTGGCCTCTGGGGTCCAACGACGGCTCATGCCGGTCTTTTAGGGCCCCACGCTGACCTCTGAGGGCCCATGTTGGCCTGTAATGACCCACATTAGCCTCTGAGAGCCCAACTCGGTCACTGATTGTCTCAAACTACTGGCCTTTGTAGTTTGCAGGCCCTGTACTGGTCTCTGAGGGCCCTAAACTGGCCTCTACGTGAAAACATACATGGGTGGGTTTCTGAAGATCAGAGGGCTCACGCAGTCTCCGGCACAGCCTTACGTTGGTCCTGATCGAGATTACTTTACGTCCTGATGGTCCCGCGCAGATTCCCTCATATTTCGACGTCGGGACCCCATGAGCCGGTGTGGGTCCTGGGGCTGGCAGAGACTGATGAAGTCCTTAGGGCTCAGGGCCAGTCTTTTTAGCAGTAAGACTAGGCAAGTTGAGTGAGCCCCAATAGAGCCGTTTCGAAGCCCCGTAGGAGTCGCGCGCGGCCCTCAGATGCCAATTTTGAAAGCTCGGAACCTGTGGGGGGTCTCCAGAGGTCGGTGTACCTACTCTCTCCCGCCGCCACACAACTAGGTATGTTACCTATATGGGTAAATGTCATAGTCTGAAAATGCTCTCTGGGTTTCACATGCTTGTTCAAAGCAAGAGGTATCTGTACTTTTCCGAATTGTTTTATAGTGGTAAGGTCATGAATCCGCGTGCCTGACCTTCCAGTATACCTATGCTACACCGATCCGTCGTCATGGTGCAGTGGGCCGACCGGTGGAAGCACCGTGGGACGGGAAATGGAACTGGTGATTTTGCCCTAAATTGAGCTTAAAGATTTCACGCAAGAATCAGATGGATGAAGCATAAGTAATGCCAACTGCGCGGCACCTCGTGGACGTAAAAATTAGCCGATCACCCCCCCCCCCTCCCGGTGACGGATAAATGTTATGTCCCGCGAGTGTGACATTGGCCCCCCCTTTTACTAGCGGCTGCGACCGCCAGTGAAATTGTTCGTTTGATAGCACATGGCAGTCATCCAAGAATTGCTGAAGCTGAGTAGAGACAAGTCTTTCCATAACTTTGGCTGCCACGTTCAGAAGGGAGATAGGTCTATAGTTCAATGCTGTTTTAGTATCACCCTTACCCTTGTATATGGGGACAACCTCTGCGACTTTCCATGAAGCAGGAACACTTCCACTGGTAAGAGATGCATTAATTACATGTAATAATGACGACAGCAGCCGCTCATTGCAAGACTGAAAAAGTGAAACAGGTATTTTATCTGGCCCACAAGAAGTCCACATATTTAATGAACATATCACCGATTTCAATTCAAGATAAGTTGCTGGACGCAGTTCAAACATGGCTGAAAGGACTCTGGGCGGCCCAGATACCGAACTACCAGGGACACAAGAACCAGTGGTGGCATGTAAACAGCCCCCTGTATTAGCCCCCACAGAACAAAAGTATTGGTTGAAAGCACGGGCCGTGTTTTTGTCCATGAGTTTAGCTGTCTTAAATTTACCCAACGTTATATTGATAAGGTTCCATGTGTCTCTGCTAGAACGATGGGTTATGACGTTTGCTTCAAACTTCAGGCGTCGCTCCAGTGAAATGGTGCTCCGCACTTGACGGCGCATGCTTTTATAGAGCGCAACATCTACCGCAGCACCAGAGCGACGAGCAATGCGGAGTTGATTGGTGGTGTCGCGTATGAGCTTTTTGGCTGTTGCCGATATGGCGAATCCACATTTGTGTTTGATTTTCGCTGTGACAAAAGGAGCATAATGGTCAAGTATCGGGACCACGATGTCGGTCCAGCCTTGCCAAGCCTGTTCTGGGTCATTAGCAGTAAATACAGACGACCAGCAGACTGCACTCAGGTCTCTCGAAAACGTACTGACGTCAATGCTTTGCCATTTACGGTACCTTATCACCTTAGACGGCAGCCTGGACCGCATAACTTTCACTTCAGCAATAATTATATTATGATCAGAGACAATGCAATTCTCTGAGGTACACTTTGTAACTAGAGAAGGATCACTAGCAAGGACAATATCAATAAGAGTTGCTGATACGTTTGTAATGCGGGTGGGGTGGCTTACACATTGACACATGCCGACATTATTGATAAAGTCCTGTAAAACGCGAACGTGATATAGATCTGGGCTCAAAAGGTCACAATTCAAATCTCCGCACAAAAGCACTTGCCTTCCTTCAGAAAGCAATCTTTTTACGGCTACCTCAAGAGCCTCAAAGTCATTTTTAATTCCTTCGTGCGTGGGAGGCCTGTACGTACAACCAATCACTAGGGCACGATTATGACCACACTTTACATTTACCCATACACATTCAAGGCGACTAGAGGTAGGAATGGAGCAGCCAGCAACTTTGCTAAATTCTAAGTCGCTACGACAATATATAGCTACGCCACCACCCCTCTTTCCCCTCCGCTCGTGCCGACAAGCCAGAGTAAGGCCAGCTAGAGGAACGTCTGGCTCGCCCCTTATAAGCCATGTCTCAGAGAGACACAAAATGTCGATCTTGTGATTAGTTACATAATCAGATATGATGTCAACTGAAGGTACTAAAGAGCGGACATTAAGATGCCCAATAACCAACCCATATTTTGAAAATCGAGTACGATTACGGAATATTTCATTAGCATTTTCAAGATAGCATGATGCTTCACTGGGACCAGAAACAACATGTAATTGGCGATTCAGCCTAAAAAACCGGCCACTTCCCCTGCTAGCATTTGCCACACATTTCTGCAACCACTCCTGTTCAAATTCAGCCTTGATTTGTCTAGTCCTTCATACACACACTCACTGAGCCGAGGCCGTAAGTCCAAAAAGCGAATTCCCTCACAGTCACAAAGTCTCTCGATCTCGTCATTCAGATCGCTGCGTCGTTTGGACATAAAGTCATCCGGTGAAGTCAGATCCTGTGGCACTGAGCATAGCACCACGCCCCTTACCTTCTCCAGACGTTTGGCAGCCCGTACTACCTCTGCTATGCAGTCAACCGTGTAGTCTACACTCCGGCGTGCCAAGTCGTTGCCTCCGATGTGCAGGACTAGGTCGACACTGACGGCCCTGCAGCGAGCCACCGCGCTGCTCAGCGCTCCCAGGGCACAGCGCACAGTGCCCCCACGGATGCTCTCGAACACAGCTTCACTGCCCAAAAGGAATTCGTCCCTGGCTGCTGCGGCGATGCGACGAACGTTTTGACAGCCTAGCAAGACTGCCCCGGTGTGCGGAACCGGGCTGCTGCTACGGCTGCTGCGTCTCCTGGAAGAAGTGACGCCTCTCCTAGCTTCAGAGCTGGTGTAGCAGGACGATACAGAGGCAGAGGTCACTGGAGCCGTGACCGCGGGCGGCACTTCAGTACCAGGCGTCCAGCTGGAGCCGCGGGTCATATGCGACCCCGGTATCCCGCTAGAGTCAAGCTTATCGTGAGCTTCAAGCGCCTTGATGTGATCAGAAGTC